GTTCTAAGCACATAGTATCAGCCGAAACATGGTGACTAGCCAAGAATATATCGATAGTGATAAAGCAGTCCGGTCATCCGATCTTTTCACTTGTCTGCATGGGGCTTCTTAGTTTTCGTGTCTGTTTTGCTCAAGTAGGCACATTTTGCGCAACCTTTTTTTTATCATGGTTTGTCAGTTTCCATCGTTCGTACTGCTTTATGTACACAATCAGACAAAGTATAAGTCTGCATCTTGTTTTGGACGCGAGATTTCGTGTATATATGAGGGATCATTATTTCAAAAGGTCTAAAAAAGTGGGCGTAGCTTACGTCCCATTTCAAAAAGCTATGGGTCAATTTTCAAAATATGATGTTCACTATTGGAACATAGTTTTAGTACTTGAAATCGTTATTTGAGATTTATTTTACTAATTAACCAATTAATAATTAAAGACCCATTAATCAAATTATAGTGTTAATAGGTTACGATTTACGTATTCCAGTATTTTTAGACCGTTTAAGATCATATTACGTAAGCGTAAGCCGAGACGTACATTATTGCCACGACACGATGAAATTTCCCAGAGACTATTAAATGCAAAGACCAACAAGCAAGATGCAAAGTGCTTTCTACTGCTTGAAGATTTTACATTACAATCATCAAGACGAACCTGTTTGCTAATGCTTATCCTTATATTCCGAAGCTGTCCTTACTGATCGACGTTTCAGTTTTACTAAGCGTTGGACAAAACATATAGTTACAAAACCCTTGGTCTTTTGGCCTTAATTTTTCATAACAGAGCATTCTTAGCTATGTCAATGACCAAATAAAATCTTTGCATTAGAACAACTTGTTTGATAACTAGGGCAAAAGCAGAAATGACCCGAAACTTTCCTGCTTACACGAGTAAACTTACTCTAAAAGTAAAAAAAAAATTCGTTGTTTACTGAAATCCTTGCCACGAGTGAATTCTACCTACTTTATAGAAAAATAACTTTCACAAAATACCATATGCCTACTTGCCAACGACAAGGTGGCTAGTTCATTTTTGTTAAATATCATCCATTATTATACCAATAAAACTTATACAAATTTATAATGATGAATCGATTTAAACCGCGCTCGTTTTTGTTCAGTCAAGAAAATATATATAGGACGATCAACGTATCACTATCTCTCTGCGTAAATTTAGAAGGTAGTTCCACTCGTACTGTACGTAATTAGTACTGCTCGTAGTATACAATTGCTGTCGCCTTTACAGGTATTGTAGCGACAGTAACAATTCAAAAGCTCACGGGCAGTTTTTAGTCAACGAGGTCTTTAAATGCGAAGTTTTTCATTTAAAAGTTGCGAATTTTTTTAAATCTTGCACGATGTTTTAGGGATTCCTATTACAACGTACATATGACGTAGCTGTTTATGGAAACACAAAAATAAACACTACTGCTTTAATTCTATTGTATTGTATTGTATTTATCTAAGCGACTAATATTAGTATAGGACACATATTAAAGACAATTTTTTTGTTTCATCCAACTGCGAGTTATCAGCCCAAAATGTAGCTTACAAGCAGCAGAAGTAGACTCAGATAATTAAGGCAAAGAATTGCTAGTTTTGGGTCAATTAACCTAAGAAATGATTTTGTTGAAGGAGCTCCTTCTCACATTTCGCAGGGCCCTTCCTAGCATTTCACTACATCAAGATCAAAACACGACACAATCTCACGAACACTTGCCCAAAGTGTGACCAATGACCACTTGGATTCGTATTGCAAGATGACATTTATTCGAAAGAGAAAAATCAAAGATTTTCATACTATTATGAATGTCTATATCTTCCTATAAGTTACGGACCACACTTCCAGCGTTCTCGAAGATCGAGACAGAATACTTTAAACTACAACTTATACCAATTAAATATACAACTTAGTAGGTTTTCTTTCTATCACAGCCCTGTCTCTCACAAGCACTTAATTTTCAACGCTTGCCTAATAATAAGACACTGTATGGTAGACATCACTGTTGAATGTGTTTTGGAAAATATTTTGCATATTAGAAGCGTCATTTTCTAGGAAAAGGACAATTGCATGATTGACTAAGGGCCAAATTGTACAAATAAACAACATTTAATTGTTTTTCTTTTTAGAAAAAGCTTTTGTTTAAATTTAATTTTTCCTCTTCAGAGAGCAAAGGCCCAGTACCTTACACAGATCTTTAACAACTAGCTTCTCAGTAACGATGTTCGTCATAAATACTTTATCCGATTCCGGTCCAGAAGGGAAACTCACACGAAATTCACCGTCTGCTAAGTAGTTTTGCAATTTCTTCGTTTTTTCAGGTGTCCAGGAATTTTTCTGAAAATTTCAACAAATGGTACAGAAACTAACCGGTCAACAATACAAACTTACTTAGTATTAATTTTTGTGTGCCTTTTGTCCTCTTCCATTTCCAACAAAGAAATATCTATTAATTTAATTTTACACCAAAGCGCATTCCCTAGAGTTTTAGGTTGACGCGTCTTATATCAGCATAGCTTATGTAAGTAGAGTGATCAATATCTTAAATATGGAATATACTGCAGCATTTAAAAATCGCGGGACCACTCAAACGCAGGTATTTTTGCCAGCTATTGCAAATGTAGAAAATTCTCACTTACATCGAATTCGCAGCTTGCTAGACTTACACGCGTCGCGAGCGCAGGTACTAGAAATGCTGCAAGAGGCGGCCTTCTACATTCGGTAATATCAACCTGGTATACCGATCTGCCATAGTCGATCATGTGTAAATTGATATGAGATCCATTAACTTCAGTAACTTTTGCGCGTTTTCGATGGAATGTAACGAAGTGTCCTTTCTTGAGACACATAATTTCAGTGCACCGCAGGGATGGTAAACTGTAGATTTCTGATTCCATAGCTTGCCTTTCTTCCAAGGACTCACTGTTTATAATCCAAATGTTGTGCGGATCATTTGCGTGGCTGACCTTGTATGTCGCGTTATCAATCTGAAATATTAAATGTAGACATACTCATTGATTTGTGGCATATTATAAGCAAAATATTCAAGTTATACATAAACGGTAGTTTCTAGCAGTGTTCTGAAGATGGACAACATTGCATAAATAGTAATAATAAGTAGCAAACTCTGCTGAAATAACGAAGCGTGATGTTGCAGAATTCATATTATAAAGTCGCCGGTTCCAATTTCACGGGGCGGACGCAAATCGATGCGAAGCTTTACTTACGCATTACGGTTCTGTAATTAACCTTATTATTATTATTATTATTATTATTTAAAGTGCCTATACACGTAGTGCAAAACAAGTACTGAAGTCGTAGGAACGTCCCACTCACTCAGCACGCTACGTATAAAATTAAAAGCCCACAATTTAAGGTGACAGCAAACCGAAGTCCTAAAAATTCGAGGGCCAATGAAAGAGTGTAAGAAAGCGCAAAACGTCGAAACAAGATAGATAATCTCATCTTAAAACCAGCTTCTAATATGTTTATAAATCTTGCAGCAATTTTCGACCAGTTTCAGTCTGACCTCTATCTCTTATAGGATCATTCATGTTAGCACATGAAAAATCTCGGATTATGATATAGGCCGTTGGTTTTTTCAATCTATAAGTTTAATAGAGGACTCATCAGGCTCAAAAACTAATAAACTAACTTGGCTAAAAATTAACCATTCCTCACATGCAGAAAACAAAACTCTGGTTTCAATCATGATAAATTTGTGGTCTTTACTCTAAAAAAACTAGCTTTTTTTTAATACAGAGAAAAGCGGATTAACACATAATCGCTACAGCAAATTGTGTGCTTGGTTTATTCTTTTAAATATATAAAATTTGTCTTTTACAGGTTAGTTTTAAATGTTAAGCGCATTGAAAAAAGAAAGATTTTCACTTAAAAAAAAAAAAGTAAGATTGATAATCTTACTTTAAGTGCGGTATTCATCGGCATGCTAATAAAATTGGTCGCTTCTTCATCGTACACGATGTCCTTGATTAGATATATTTTCTCATGTACATCCTGCCGTGAGCCGACGAGCAAGACCTGAACCAGCTCTGATCCAACCGCCTTGTCTAGCTTGTCTAACACATTGAGCTCTGGTAGGTGGTCCTCCAGTTCACAAGGAATTGCAAGCTGACAAGTTTTCAGGACACTTTTTGTATTTTTCCCCGTTGGAAGTAAGCGGATATTCTGTTTAGGATCACAAACAAACAGTAAGAGAGTATAGCGGAAGTAACATGAAGATGCTTAATTTGACTCGAAAAATGCCAGTTTTATGCGAAAATAATTTGTATGACTGAATAGCAACTCTTTAAAATAATCCGATAGCGACATGAGATTAGAAATTTCGACTTTTTTAATCAGAGACTGCTTGCTAGCACACATACTTTAAGCACAATCCTAGCAACCATACGTCTGCGAAGATATGATTTCGACTTTACAGTAACAAAATAATAACAATCTATACAGTAAAAAGCAACTTACACATTATGTGTCAAAACAGATATCTCCTGATAATTAAACACTCGTATAATCAAATGACCTTACCTTGCGAGGCACTATTTCTGAGTTGCCGAAATCGAGAAAATATACTTTGACTTGGTCGTTTTTTACGTAACCGTCAAACCTAGCTCGATACAACACATCGTCATAGGGCGCAACTACAATTGTACTGCGCGGACAAAGATGATCATCCGAAGGTTCTTCTTCACAATCGGCCTTCAGAACCTACAAGTTTTTACAAAGTGATGATTCCCATTCTTTTTATAAAACATTCGGCCATACATATTCAAAGAAGGAGTAGAATGTCTCAAATATAACTAACTCAAATCTATCATATTCAGAACTTACTTTGCTAAAGATAATAATCGATTTAATTCTAAATTCGTATAGGTAAACAAATCTGCGTCATCAGGGGTTGAAACATTCGTATCTGGGTCTAGTCTGTTTCTCAGCTCACTTCGCACAGGCGTTCCTCTCTCTCAATTTTATTATAGATTTTCGTGTAAAAGTCAGAAACTGTGAAGCGGTTTCTATGACGCATACTTTGCACTGTTTTGTCTTTTTGAGAAACTTGCCCAAAGGTAACTTTGTTGAATAGAGGACATTCGATAACACCACATAGGTTGTACTGCAAAGAATTTTTTAACTCCATTAAACCGCAAACACCAACATTGGATCTATTTGGACAAAAAATTACTGGATTAAGTGTGACAGATCCCCTTAAAATAAAAGGGGGTACACGCATTCGTATAAGCGCTTGATGCGCGTATTTGTGTATATAAAAAAACATCATAAATACTGTCTTTGGGTGGCCCTACCTCATCGCAAATTGCCCTTTGCAGATTGTTGTCTTCTCTGAGCACGATATACACGAAGTGTTTTTCCCTGTCAATGTAGGTAACTTCTGCCAACACGTACCGCCATAAAGGCGGTACCCGTACTTGGAAGGCACCTTTAAGTATTAGTCCGTCGGATTCCCTCGAAGAAAAACTACTGCGCCGGCTTGAGCTGGTTGAAATTGGATCAGTGCCATCTGGTGGATGAAACTCTGCCCCGGTTTGACCATCTCTATCGACCTTGGTTAATTGTTTACCACCATCCTTTAAACCACCCTCAGGATTCCCGTCAAATGAACCATCTTTCGGTTGAGCACCACTTGGATGAGAAGTCTGTGGTAGTCGACTAGCTAAGGCGCCATTGACCTTACTATTGACTTTTTTTTGGCCATCGACACTATTATCACTGAAAATGTATTGCTCTCTGTCATTGAGTTCTAAGTTATAGTCTCTGTTGCAACTAGTATTATTGAATTGCTCATTAACATCGACGAGCTGTTCCGAATGGGTAAATCTCGGCTGATTCATACAGATTTTTTCTATGGCATCGCGAGCCCCTCGGAGTACCTCAATCGTATGCGGTCGAGCATTGAGTTCATTATTCTGGCGTGAAGTTGCCATTAAAGAAGTACTGGAAGGAACAAATTCCGCGGCGTCGTACCTCAAAGGTGTAATAGGTTGCTTCTTGCTGTTAGAGTCACCAGCAGCGTAGTCCTTAACAACGTTGCTAAAGTGGTCCGCCATGGCCGAATCGTCGATATGTGTTGTTGTTACCGTCGTAGTACTTGTCGTGCATACCATAGGCGCCACTAGGGGTGATGAAAATGTCCGAGGCAGCTGTATGCTGAATTCGTCATTGGCGACGTGACGATGTTCTCTTGTGTTTTTAAGAGACAGGAACTGAGTGAGTATACAAACAAATGAGCGGAAAAGACGAAGGAAAATAAACAACATTTATTAGAGAGAACAAAATTGCTAAACTGGAGAATATTGCTTATAGCCGAAAATACAAAATCTTTACAAGAGGATCTTCTACGTTCAAATGAATACGTTATTAAAAACGATAAAAAACATAATGGCATCACAAAAAGTTCTTCCCCAATATGGCTTATACTGTAACTGTACTAATGCATTATTTCAGCACCAATATCGTCCTATCTTTTTTCTGTATAGATGGTAACATGGTAGCGTTCAAAGAATGCAACAGCTAAAAATATGGCGAGATATTTAAAAAATATGTTCTTCCGGTATGAGATTTGGAGATATACGATAGCTTGAATTGAACGTTATTATCTTAACAGGTTATTTAATTTATATAAATCTGTTCCTAGTCAGTAACGGACCCTGAAATTTGTAGCGGAAGCTTGCTCTGACAATTTGGCATCAGTTTCACTGTTGCCCTGTAGTGCTGAGACTGAGCCATGTTTCATCGGTGGCTTCCCACTAACAGGAATCATCTGGTCTCTGGTTTCCCTAATGACTGCACTCTGATTTTTTGCTCCGACATTAACAGGCAGTTCCTCGACTGGTGTGCATTCACTAACATCTGTGACCGTATCGAAGGAGTTACTACTCACTGCGGCTGCACATGACACCTCATCTGTGGCTGTGGTCCAATGATTACTCGAAGCAGAAGTTAAAACAGATGTAGGCTGAAAAATGCCAGAGTTGAGAGCTATTCGTAAAAGACGCATATTGAATACGCAGGTAGCTAAACTTCGTCCATTTTGCACTGGTTCCACTCGTTCATTTAATAAGAAAAGGTCTTGTGTGAGTTTATCGCCATTGCGCTGATAAAATACTTTCAAGCAGAGGTGTCTGTAAGATTGTCGATTGCTGTACTTTTACATTTTGTTCGTTTTGATTTAATTGCAATCAATTGTAAGGCAAATTTCCTCCAAGTATACTAGTAATTAAAGAATCTCTAAATACTGTGCAATGTTGTATAGAGACCTGATATGCGGAAATACATCGTTTCTCTTTTCTGTTAAACACAGATAACTACCGATTAATAAAGAAATGCAATCCCCTTTGAAGATGGCGGCCAAGCATTCTTGCAAGGCATCTTTAAAAAATTCTCACGTATTCATGTTGTTTTAGAGTTTTCATCATCTAGGCTAACTTTGACGTTTAGTAATCTAGTCAACCATGCAAATTGTTGGCGCAAAAGTCAAAATTAATGAACATAAAGTATGCGTTTAGCGTTCATTTTATTTGATTCTTGCGCTATTTTCAACTAAAACTTAGGTTTCTAAGATTTTGAAATGAATTGTAAATGCTAATGCTTAAATATAAATACCTCGAAATACTTTTAGCTAATTAGGCTGCCCCAAAAACACTTTTTTGTTCTCTATACATGTTTCGGCTACAATTTTTTTAATCACTTTTAAGATAATTAATCGAAATAGTTGTATTTACTTTTCACAACACAGCAGTAAACAGTTTTATGGACGAAATGTTGGTTTTGATTCTTGAGAGCATCTATTCGCCAAACCTAACCCATATTCTAGAAGTATATTTGTATTTGCTATTTGCATCTATATAGCAATTAAACCCAGGCCGCACAGACGCCAACAAAGCTCCTCTCTCATGAATGAATCCAAACTTTTACCAATATTCAAGGTGTGGGTCCACGTTGACATCCGGAGAGGATTCATCACTTTTTCTTTTTACGGCGAGTTTTTCCATACGAATGTATCCATATAACAAAGTATTCGATCCCGGCTAGTACCAACGCTCCCAAACTTATCATAGCTTTTACGTGAAGCCATTTACATGACATACTAGAATATTTTTTTAATGTTAAAATAGCAGGCTTTCATCATCCTGAAGATGACTCATTATTCCGGTGTTACACGTTTGAGTTGTTTGATGTACTTGATGTAATTCCATTTCCGATACTGATACACAACCATGTAATGCCACTTATTTAGTTACAATTTTATGTAGTCATTGCAGGTAAGAGCAGAAACTTTCATAGTTTAATCCGGACTTCGCTTGTCTTGTACTTTTTTTTTGTCTTGTACTTAATCACGTATAATAAAGGTAGTTAATCTAGTAAAGGTAGTAACCTTTATCTCTGCATTGGTCCGGTTATCTGGCACTCTGGCATATAAATCACTTGGTGCAGCAACTAATATTTTAAATTGACTATGACAGATTATGGCTCTCAAGTGAAATAATATTTACTGCCAACTGCACTAAACGGTGCAGTCATCATTGTAAATACAACCTATTATTTAACGTATTACTTTTCAACTCACCTAGTTTCTAGGATGTCCCCTGGCTAGACAACCGCCAAGAGCATTACGAGGTGATCCCATTCTAAATTATTAACTTGATATGTAAGCCAGTATCGCACGTTCTCTAGTGCGTCTAGTTATGTTCATCGAATACGTATAACAACAATTTCAACAAACTTGGCGTGGCCTATGTTGGTTTGCTAATAAATTGCATCAGCCATAGCGCACTATCAGATTAAAACCAATCTAATTAGTGCTGCATTATTAAAGCTGCATTACATTAGCTGTATGAAACGTGCCTTCCCTTGCATTCAACACCAGTCTGTTATATTAGCACTCAGGCCCTAGTGCACGCTTTCTCATCGTGCCTTAACGAAGTAAGAGACGTGTTTTGCGAAAAAAAAAAAAAAGAGGCGCAAAACATCTGTTTTATATGAATCTACCTTTGCTGTATAAAATCTGAGAAAAAAAATAAACACCTGCTATATAGAATACGCACCTGAGTAACATCCTTTTTAACTGGAATAGCCGCGAGTGATGCACGGGTATTTTCAATCGCAAAAACTTGAACTGGAAATTCTAGCATCGATGGCGTGTTATATGTTTTCATGCATTTTATGGCTTGGTTCACGGCCTGGAACGCTTTTTCCAGTGAAAACATTGCCGATTTAACATGTGCGCTGACCTTAAGCGAATAAAACCATCGCAGGATATACGAGATAATGAACAAAAAATTAAGATTAATTTCGAACGTACAGTTGAGTACGCGTGCTGGCGAGACCAGAAGCCATATAATAATATTCTGGAATATCCCATTTTGCTATTTATGCTTCCCGATAATCGATAAGTACCTTTTGTGATGATGCACAAAAATGTTCACTCCACTAACACGTAAGCATTGTCTCACTTTCCCTTAATTCAGTGTAGGTTAACTACATAAAATGTAGATAATCTTCATATAATTTTTCATTGCATTATATTAATAAAAAAATTAATATCAACCATGATGACCGACGCTAGACCTTCCAATTAGGTCGACGAAAAACAAGCAGATTTTGTCATTACAATAGAGTACATGTATGTTAGAGTGATCAAGTTTTACTACGCTTATATCTTTTTATACATTCTAAAATTTTATTGAAAAGTTTTCAGAATACTTTTTACAAGTTACAAGTAAGAATAACAAACGAATATACAAAAAAAACATTTGTTCGTATTGTGTTGTTGTAAAATTTGAATATCGATTTCATCGAGATTATATAATGTGTACTATGCTTGCCAAATTTTTTCGCTGATCTTTGTACAGACTCAGGTATTACAAAAAAAACCTTTTTTTGTCGATAACTCTTTTAGGCTAGCCATGCGTATCAATAGCATTATTTAAGGAAGGGCGCAAACACACACAGTTGTGCTTAGCATGGCTGCTTAATGAAAAAACATTAAATAGAACCTCTTACCTCTTCACAATTTTCGACGCAGTATTCAACGTCTGCTGAAACAACAGACGCTAAAGCTTCCGCACTTTTCGAAGTCAGCTCAATCTTCCATACCAACGCATTAATATCGATCCTTAAATTTGCCAGGCTTGACTGCCAAACAAAAGAAGCCATCCTGGCAACCGTAACGTAAGGCTTGACGGAAACCACTAACTAAAAAAAAACACGGAGCAAATAAGCACTTTACCTCTCAGGCACCATTGAAATAAAATAATAATCATCAGTACTATAATAAAACTATTCTACTTCAACGATGCTTATTTGTGCAATAATTGTTGCTTTGATGCAAGGGGTTTTTAACTGCCTTGTTCTGCAGTTTAGTTACGTGTACGAAGTGTAGCATCTAAATCTTAGCGGCTTTTAATGAGTGAAATAGAAGAAGGCAAAAGCATGGCAACCGGTGAAAAAGGAAGTGAAAGTAAAGGCGAATCGAGGACAACGTGAAGATGATGGAGTGCAGCTTTTTGTTTGAGATGACTGATGGACTGGGTTTGGCAGGCGAGACGTATGGAAACTGGATACCGCCCAGATCTTTGTTTTGTTGCAGTTTCGTGATATTACTAGGTAAAGAAGCATATGGACAGATCAGTCATCGTTAAATACTATAGCTTTAAAAGATACTCAAATACTAATCAGTCATTTTAGGTAAACGACGCAATTTTGAAATTAAAAAAAAGACTTGTTATTCCAACCGTATGACATGCTACCATGGGATCGGTAGCAAAGTGTCATCATTCACTTAAGTTGAAGCGCTAGTAGAAATCACTTACATCAAAAAAATATCTAAATTTAGTTCCGTGTGACAGCCTTACTTGCAAAAAATATATATATATAAAATAAATTTCCGTAAGAATTGTGATGCCGCCGCTTCTTAAAAATAGATGACTATGTTCTTTGCAATTATCATGCACTGTTCATACTATGCCTGCGTATGTAAATAAACGCCGTTTCTAATTAGCTCATAAGAATCTATATTTCCACATTTTTCCGAGCCATTTGTTAGAAGGTTGAAGCTTTTACGCTTCTTGAGTCAAAAAAATCACTTTTCGAGGCCTTCTCTAATTAATCAATTGGCTGTATCCCAAAAGTTACTACCGTTTTCAAAAATAAAACGTTTAACATATTAAAAAGTGCATTAAAAACGTACTAACAAATCATTACTAACTTTATTAAAGAATTTATGTAAATTATCATTAACATGTTAAAATTGCTAAAAAATAAACTAAAAAAGTTTATAGCTTACCTTATATAAGTAAGTTATTAGAAGCATTTACTTTTTAATTGTCGAGCTTTGAGCACTTAATAATCCACTTAATCCATTGCAGGGCAAATGATGTTAGCTTTGATAATAGTATGCATAACGTATTTCCAAGAGACATGGTATCACATAATTTTATACCCACTATAATACGGAGATCTATATTCTATAGCTACAATAGCTGAAGAGATATGAATGTTTGCGTGTACACTAAGAGAACAGTGGCATATTGCATATATGAAGTTCGGTGCCACAACAACGTTGCCCAGTAAGTTTTATTTATATTATTCATAAACATGTTTGTAACGAAAAATTAAATGTAGTTTATATTAATTTTAATTGCTGTACGTACAGTCTTTCAAGACCTTAAAGTTAAACAAAGCAAAATCTCGGTTTTTTTTTTTCATAGACAGTAACGGCGAATTCCTTGAATTCGCCACTTTATACGGTACGTTAATAGACGTTACGCTAATAACTCCCGTAACAATGAATTCATGCTACCATGAAACGTTAACTCATAGTGGTTCTAGTCGAAAACCAAAATGCGTCATTTTAAGTTGCGCATATATCGGTGTAAACATGATTGCTGCTTAGTTCGGTTGCGTTTACAATAAGCGCTCAAGTAATATAACACTCACAAGGCTTTCACCAACATGTAATAATAAGATAATTTAATATTCTTATCGAATTAAAAATTTTGAGTAAGATTAAATTAAAAATCCTGCTTGATTCATAATTTTATCTGAAAGACAAACACATTTAACCCAGGCGACACTTCCTAGCAGCTTCTCTGTTACAGCTAATAAACTGATAGCTGCACTGAGCTCCGTGCAGGGAGGGTCCTCCACGTTTACTGAGGACTTTTGACTCGACTGTGCAAGATTTGTGCAAGTACAGGTGCGGAGAGTATAGTAGCATGTCAAGGCTTTGAACGTTTATGGTACATCATAACAATAAAGTGAGTAAGCTGAGACGAGTTAACCGTGCTATCTAATTAGGAAAATATACTCACCCAGTTTGGGTCTGAGCTCTGTCACTAATGCACGATCCGTTTTATTTTGCGATAATAATGTACTTCATAATAAAATACATTAAACTCACTTCTATTTACCAGCGAATAGACGAAATTCATCAATAACAAACGGTCGTTCGTCTGCTCTAGCCGCGGTCATTTCAAATCAGTGATCAACACAGAATCAACAGAAACAATTCTGAAAGTTACAATTAGTCGAAACACTGCATAAAGCATTACTCACAGCGTCGTCGTATTGGTCGAACAAAGCAACGAGCGTAACAGAACTGTAGATCGCTTGCGCGCTATGGATCTTTTATGGAGATATGAAGAATATGGTTAATGGTTATGCACTTACTATTGGTATTATAGCACGTGCTATATTTATAACTATAGCAACTACAGAGTTCATTTTTCCTATACAATATACAATCACATTTCAACCTAGCTCGTAATAAATGTACAAATATAAAACTAAAACAACCTACATTTCAATAACGGTTCCTATTCCCGTCATCCAGCTCTTGTTGCTGCCAGCCCCATGTACGTGTATTTTGTGTACACTAGCGTATTTTTCAGCTAGAATTGCTCTCTCCGATTGTGGTAAGATATAGATATCCAGTTTCATTAGACGTTGAAGTGGTTTTGCCATTTCGACCAGTGCCTCTATTAAACGGTTTGCGCGTTTAAAGCGCTTCGTTCCCCAACATAATTTCAGTGGCGCGTTCGTAATCCTTCGAGGTTGTTCTTAACAGTTGGACTCAGCCGTCATCTAACTCCACCTGAAGTTCGTTGTAATGCTACCTATGTTTATTTTCTTCGGAAGAAAACCTGTTTTATAGAGTTAACAACGGATGAGCATTTATTTGAAATATTATTTGAATTGAAGTTGCAATGGTATTTTAATTAAACGCATTTTTAAGTAAGTATCATTGTAAACAATACACGAACTGTACGTTATAAAGGAGTCAGGATTGATAGATTCCAAATTCAGATAGATAGTAGTGATATCCTGTGTTACCTGGTTTCATTTTTATCATTTCAAGATAGTTATATCAGGTTGTGAATATAATCCTATTAGCTTGGCCCTCTAAGGTGCTACCAAAAAAGTCACACGACAGCCTCACGTATGTTCTAAACGAATTTTTCACTAGACAAGAGATATACTCAAACGTATTGACACCATAGGTATACTACTGAGGCTTGTACTGCACGACAGGCAAGCACGTAGTTAGACCTCTAAGGGCCTAAAGTTACTGCCTAATTTTTGCAGTGCGATGCTAGTTTCAGCTCGTTGCTATGTCGCCGGATAAGCACGGGGAACTAGTTATTTAACAGTATCATTATAAGATAATTTCTTTTTTCCTAGTGTGAGGCAAACTCGGTTAGCTTCCGGCTGAAAATTTGTGAGCTAAAGTGTACATTTGATAGAATGATATTGTGTCGAACATCGTAATGGGTGTCTTAGTAAGTACGACGTAAACGTGAAAGGCCGGCCGCGAAGAAATGCAAAATTAACTGCGACGGTATTATTCGTTATTAATAATTTTTAATCAATTATTAGTATTAACAATGGAAATAGTATAACCGCCTTTAGAATTTACAATTAGTTAATGTATTCCCTGTTACCAAAGTTTAAATGGAGTAACTGCTGAATACATTTAAAAATGGTAGCTAATTTCCAATTCAAATATAATTAAATTTAAACAAGCTTTATTTGAACATTAGGCGCTAAGACAGCATCAGTTTGAAGGAACTGAGGTCAGTCTAGAATTACCTGACAGGTTCATGTAATATAATTAGCATATTAAATGTTTTAATTCTCGACAGTATATAGTTTTCAATGCTACATGCAAGAATTGGTAAATAGTTTTAAATATTTTCTGTCTGTATTGGTAATTCAGGGCATTCACTACGTATTCTAACTACCCGCTAGCAATGGTCGATAATAATTTCTAAAAAGATATCTACAAAAATCTAGAAGTACATATTGGAGAAGCTTCTATCTGAGACCGAATGACGAAAACTTTCTATGCGTAGCTTGAGAAAATGATTAGCCCAGGTTAATCTTCGTCCAACTATCAAACCAGGGCGTTGTGCGGATGCATTTAATTTAACGACGTCCATCAAGATTCGTTGGATTGCTTGGTATATTGATGAAGCTTTAGGAGATTATAAAGGGAACACGTTCCATTTTAGAAATGTTTGCAGAAAAACTAAATGTAACGTAGCTACATTTAACGTTCTCAGAGTCACAGATGTCTGCGTTACAAGACGATCTGCGAATCTACCTTATGAAAATGAAGGCGTCGGAAAAACAACTGGTATATAATCCGTTTTTGCGGGACTCAGTACATTTATATAAATGATAAATATAAATGGGCCTAGGAGTGAATTTTGAGGAATCCTTCTTTTTGTTGAATAGTCATTCGAGATAGTATTCGCCAGTGCATACAGTTGAGAAGTGGTTGATCAAGTCACATGTGAACCAACTGCATATTACACGAGAAAAATCATAGTTCTGGAAGGACATCGTGCGAGCTTGAGTGAGAAGATTTTGCGATATCACCTAAAGCCAGAAGGAAGGCGTGTTCTTCATCGCAAAAGAAGTGAGTGATGTAACTTCAGATATTATAGAGGGCTAGAACACAGGAGCGCGAGCTACATCGAACTGAAGAAACATTTACTGTTGGAAAGTGAGCTGCAGAATGACAAAATCAGTTGACGTTCGACACATCTTGCAGAAAGCTTCACACGGGTCACACACTCTTACCTTTAACTAACTTGGAAGACCTTTAGCGCTATTAAAAACAACTGTCTGAAGAAATAGGCTAAATTTTGTGCTAATCATGTGTAAATTACTGGAGGATTTCACAAGGAACAACAGTAAATAAACCAGTGAAGTCAGCTTTCACAAACATGTCAAGTGACAAAGTTAGTTCTTCAGTAATAATTGAAAAATTAAAGGGAAGCTAGACAAGACGAATGCTATCTGATTGATATTTGTTCAGTGCTCCGTAATATGCATGTTTATGCTTCTGCTCGAACTTTTTCTGTACGTATCAAGAACTCGCCTAGAGTGTCGAAACTACACCGCAATAATTTGGAGATTAGCTATTACAATGAATAAAACTGTTTACCAAAAAGGCAGTATTGTGAATATTATTTAGGGTACCTTTTAAGCAACTACCTGTGAAATGAAAACTGGTATATTAGTGACTGATCAACAAAAACAAGTATCAAATAATATATTTCGACAGAAGTTCTCATCGGACTTCTCGGGAGGGTTCCACGGGTGCTTGTCAAAAAACTAATAAGAGCAAGAATAGGATAATAACCAGAGATAGTGTGGGATTGTATAATTATCGAGATGATCCCCATCACAGGCGCAGCAAAAATCAAAGTTATATAGCTTATACGCGTTTCCTAATCTTCTTTCGTTGTTCCGTAAACTACGGATAACCCGAGGATTCCTAATCCAAAAATCCATATTCAAGTTACCAAAGACAATCATGGGTATATCTTGCAAGTTGATTGTCATATCAAGTATCTCAATTCATGTGTAAGAGCCTTGGGGATTGTTCGAGTAAATTCCGGTTTAGAACGTTCAGTTTACGTAAACTTGTCGCACACGAGTGCTACGCACGTTCACGTGCAAATATAATTTACTATTTTTATTTACTACTACTAATTTTTTAGCCGAGGCGAATTTTTTTTTATTTAATATGAAGGACAACACAGGGAAACGCTTAGTGTTGCTAACAGTACCAACAGATATGGCCATAGTTCCGTCGATTTGGCTTTTCCGTGCATTTGCTCTAGTAAAAATAGCCTATCGTCCGTCAGCATCTTTGTTGCTGCTATCTTTTCGCCAATGCTTTTTTGTTCTTTTTGATGTTCGTTAGTGGCCTCCCAATGGTTTTTCTTTTCTGGATATGCTTGTATTTTTCCCGTGCAATCCCCTGTCGTATCGTCTTACGTTAAAAAAAAAATCCTTTCTACCTCTAAAATTATGTTATCAAGGATACGATATTGTTCCAATTTAAAAATAAATCAAATAATAAAAAGTTTAATCTGAGTTTTCTTAGAATCATTCGTTCTTACTCGTCTTTTTGATCAACGCCTTCGTTATAAAACCTTCTTGCTTAATCGAATATTACGATGCTATGCATACTCAGTAAGGCTATGGCGTTCGCTAACTTGGAAAGTATATTTGAGGATCTGTTCTGGCTCGGATTGATTTTCAGAGGACTCGACCGTAGAAAGATATACCTTCTTCTGACAGGTCGCTTAAAGCAACCAAGATTATTCGACGTGATCATCTTGTTCTTAAATTATTTATAGAGTGATCTTTGCGCCCTTCGAGCTGCAAATAGGCGAACGAATCCCAAAGTATACATTGCGCTGAGAGATATTTGAAGTTAAATTCGGAACAATATGGGTCCATCTTTTACTTTGAATGGCATTTTCTGGCAAAGCTCCGTGAATAGGTAAGAGTTAATTTGTACTCTAGTCGTTAAATATCGACATCATTTATGATGCACATACTTACCATACATTTTTTTAGGTTTTCAGGCCATTTAGATCTTACCTATACACAGAGTGAATTTATGTCACTCCAAATCAATCCATCCTTGTGTGCGTGATATATGCATATTAATTATTATCAATTGTGGAAATGATGTACATGGCTAACTAAGAACAATGAATGGTAAGTTGTAAACAGGTTTTTAGAGACACATTTGTTATATATTGAAATACAATGCCAGAGGTTCAATGGCAATGCGATATTGTGCTCGACAGTTCTATAAATAAGCGCAGGCTGATCATAAGATTCGCGAGTGTAGTTGAGTTAAGAACAAACTTTTACGATAAAGGTGATGAATATTTTTATTGTTTTAATATTGTTTTATTGTTTGATCCGCTTTGCCTGAAGGAACTCAGGAGTATAAAGCTGTCCGGTGTAAGTGATCGACAGTGACTCACAGCCATTCATTATCATGCTGTTTCCTGACACTATGAGCTAAATGGAATGGTCGGTTGGTAGAATTAACCGCGGATGTTGTTTTGTATTTTACCCCCATCGTTTGTATTCAATACGCTTTACCTTTACACAATTCATTTTTATTACTCGCCCTATCCGACTCCTATTGATGATTTTACCATACAAGCAAAACTATATTAAGTTGTTTCTATTATACTTTAAACCAATCTCCAACTCGACTTCGTTTAATACTAGAAGATAACTTAAAACAGCTTCGAGTTTGAGGTTCTGTTGATATCCAAGTAATTCGCAGGTAGGTACCGTATTTACAGCATTGCCGGCAAGGGTATAATTTGAGGTTTCTTCGCTACTTTTGTATGCACCTATGCCCCAACCAAATTAAAAGCTAGCCCCTTAGCATACCATTGATCGTGTCTTCTGCTGTTCAACTGATAATATTACGTATTCCTTAAAACACTACGAGGGCTACATGAATTTGATATTATAATACTTTAAATAAATAAGGGACTTTCCGTGTTTTGGTAATAGCTTCAAGTAGCGCTAAGTTTATCAGGCGCGTGTTTACTTTAAATAGTTAGCATATAATTTTTCCTTTTTCATTTGTGATATTCTAATCAGCTTTTGACCTCATTAAAACGGACTCCGCTATGGATGTATGCACTATGCTCAAAGACAATTAAGGGAATCATGTAGTTTTTATCGCTTTGTTCCTCGTCTCCTTCGTATATAAGGGAAACCAATTTCGTCGAACAAAAAATTCTGTTAATCCGTTTAAACTTTCAAGATTACTTTTTGAGCTATCCAGGTTCCTTCGATACTTTAATCATCCGGCCGTTCACTTCAGGTGCCCAAAGTAATGATCAAATGGTCTGAGGAATGAACGGGTTCATTATGATACGGCGTATCTTTAAAGCTGTCGATAGTCATAAGCGTATGTCGGAATGGCTTCAAGGGTTCTCTGAGAAGGCAGCAATGTCTTGTGATGTCTGGCTACGTACGGTATCTGTTAAAGTAAAATTTACTCAGAAAACGTAACTTGTACAAGGCATAAGTGCATGTATCAAGTGGAACTGAGTGGTTCAATCGCTTAAAACATTGGCTTCCTCTTATAGTTTTCATTTTTTTTTTAACAGAGAACGAATAGTATAGGAATAACTCCTGAAGTTGTGCTAAGATCTTCTATCTATCCTACAGTTATGTATGGAACTCGACCAGATGGTAAAATGCAGCCTTACTATAGGTAAATTATCACGCACAGCTGAATGCGTCTCTTAGAGTATATGGTAATTCATTTTTCTAAAACCTTGTTAGGCGGGTGTTTCACTAATAATTTTTGCGTTTTTTGGTGAGTTAGTACCATTAACTTGAAAGAACATCCTTCTTAAGTTTCAATAATGATCGAAAGCGTTTTATTGCTTTTTATTGTCCGTTGACTTTGATCGAAAGTAGATCTATTTATTTTTCTATATATATATATATATAGAATCTTTAGATAACTGTATTATAAAACTTGATTCATTCTCTGGAAAGGACAATGTAATTAGGTCCGGAAGCCGTTTATATATTTTGTATATTTTTGCCGGAGTATATATTTTGTAGCACAATTATTATTGTATAATTATTTGACTGAAATTAGTCAACGAGATTTAAGCTCATAACGCTTCAGATTTTTCGTCGCTTAACTCAAGGCCATGAAAAGTGGTCACTATAAACATTAGTACAGGTTACACCACATGTTGCTTTATTTTTAATGGAATATGTTCTGACAACTGAATCTTAATTCGGACCATTCAAATGGCTGTAAAATAGATATTATGAATTAATGTATCGCACATAAGAACTTAGTTGTGAATATATTACATAATAATAAACATCTGACGTTGTTGTCTTCCATTCAAATAGTCAGTACCAGCTACAGTATTTATATTGCTCTTTCCTAGCGTAGGTGAATAGGTTTATGTATCTATGTGATTAAGATCAACTACGTAGGTCGTCTGAATAGTATAAAATACAAAGAACACCATATAACAACCGTTTTAAAGTTAAAAAACTGTTAGCAGGAGAAGCATCGTTCTGCTTGATATACGACATTAGGACGAAAACGGGACAGTTTTTACGAAGAAAACCGACCGAAAAATATAGATGAAAGGCCTGCTATTACTGTCAAACATTTTTTTAGAGTAAGCATTAATTCCAAATATAAATAAAAACATAATACACTCAATAATCAAAAATTAATAGTTCCAAATAAAAATGTAATACACTCAGTTGTTTTTCAAAAGAGGATAGTTCAAACGACGGCCCAATTAAATTCAAATCTCAGGTTGAAACAGATTTTACACTCACACCGTATTTCTGAAAGGTCGCAAACGTGTTCTATCACTAGAAGATTAGCCTGTCTATAACATTGCGCAATATATTTCTTCGACCTGAAGGACAGCATATTGAGACACAGAAGAGTTTGGTACTTCTATAAACAATAACGGATTTCCAGTTTTTTACAAACGGACAAGTATTTTTTCAAGCAAAACTATTTGTTATTATTTTTGACTAGATTCAATTTGTTGTGTAGAAAAACTACTGCATAAATATCTACAAACCGAA